AGCGCCCGCAGTTGCTTGCCTAGCAAATCACCAGCCTGGTCCAGTGTAGCAAATGGGTCGCTACATGGAGTGGATTTCCTGGGGCGTTTCCAGTAATAGAGCTGGGTGGCGTGTTTTTGCATGGAAGAAAGCTCTTCCGATTTGTTATATATTCATAGTCATTACAGCGACACAAAGAATTCTCTCGAGTAATTACTCTTCTGCTGCAGCGGCTGTAGAGTTTACACCTTCCTATCCAGAAGGAGCTCCACCCAAAGCGTCAAAAGCTCTGGCCGAAACGTTAGCGCTGCTCAACCCTTCCTCTTCTACTGCCCGCGCCTTAAGCGCCGTTGAAATACAGACGGAAGAGAAAGACAAAGAGCCGCTACCCGTGTGTTCTCAATCAAAGTATTTATGTCAGGTTCACACGTTGCACAGTGCTTTGCCACACCGCGTATTTGCAGAGAGCACCCAACAGGACCATAATGATGGGAAAGTTGGGCATAACTCAGCCCTTGGCGTCCATGCCTCCTTCAGATACAGACGGTTAGCAAGACTTCCTTTACACAGTCCCAAGCACTTGCCAACTAACGCAGCCAATTATGAAAAGAACGGCCAGTGGCCTAGCAGAGTAAAATCCGTAACACCGATTCCATCCGAAGATATCCATAGAGTGACTCCTCGTTTTGCCCAAGTGTCTCAAATCAGCAAAAAAAGCGGAATTTTTCTTCCACTTCGAGTCCATGCTTGGTTTGCGGACTTTCTGAGCCCGCTAGGGGAGAATCTCCAAAACAATCTGAACAAACAACTGAACCGAGGAGGTGAAACGCCAGCAACTGTGGAACAGCCCGCTGTTGCGCGAGACAAGCCTATCAAAAACCTACTCGATCAAACCGCGGCAGATCTCCCTGAAGACGCAGTTAAAGCCACAGAAGTGCAGCATGCCCTGCGTTTTAACGACATCCGTCGCTTCTTTGAAGTGGAACTTGTGCCCGCCGCGCTCTGGTGGCTACAGCGAACTGTGAGGGTTAATCGGGTAATTGGACCGCTGACTGTCAAACTTGAAAATAAGAGCGACACGTAAGGGCATAAGCTCTCCAGCCAAACGCATGCGGGCTCGTTTCCACTACTGAGCGGTGAATGATGAATCTGCTCTCATCGCAGCCTACGCCATGGCACTGTCAGTTAATGAGCTCCACAGGGTTGTTTTGTAGCTCTACTGCATTTGCAGGCGCTACTGTGCAGGCAACACAGGGTGGGCAAGTGCGGAAAGTGTCGTCTACCGAGCCTTCGGCGCCTGCAGACTGAAACGGAGCACCATTCGCTTGGAATAGTCGAAGATGCTGATGTCCTGTTGTCGTTTCGCACATCGAAAAGCCCGAAGGAGAATGGAACCTGTAGGGTTGTTGCGATAAATTAACGTGCCTGCTGCTAGATGCCTGCGCAGTAGTGCTCTCCTTCGCGCAAGTAGTTCGTGGAGCTTCTTTGAGTAATTGAAAATATTAGAGCGTGTATACTGGCCTGCCTCTATTTTGAAGACGGCATTTTATTTCTGCAGATGTTTGTCAAGTTGATGACGACTACCGCCCGATTGCAGCTTGCATCTCGATTCCGGTCGCTGAGGCAGAAAAGCTGTACTCCAGCAGAAAAACATCATTCTCTCACACTATCGATCGAATACTCATGTACATTATCAACGCGGTTGGCGTCAATGTGCAGACGCTGCCTTTTTTCCTAACGTGGAACCACGCTTGGAGGAAGGAAGCGCTACGGTGTGTGAAACCAATGTTGTTCGAGTACCCTGGAAGAAGGCTGGAACTTTGCCTGAGTCTGCACGGGACAATAGACCACCAATGTGCACTCTAATTTTGAAGAGCAAAATGTTGTCTCCTGCGGTGAAACATCAAACAGGCGGCTTCACGATGCCAAGCGCGTAGGCTGGCCTCCTGCAATTCATGCTGTAACAGAAGTGTTGAACTTCGACATAAATCTCCCCATCATCCAGAGAGGCTTTCATAGGTTCAAAGCAACGGCAACTTCTTCACGGGCGGCAGCAGAAACGCGCGCGCGGCGCCGCTATTTTCTCACAACTCCTGAGATCAAGGGTGCAATACGGCGCTATTTTGGTTGCACTGATGTGATTGGCTTGGAGATCTCCTTGTATCAATCAGGCCCACGCTGTGAGCGCGTTGTTAGCCTGTCAGCAAGAGTCAAATACTGCACAGCGTGCACAGCCAGGCGATCGGATACTGCTGCAGTGCAGTTGCCTGCTATCTGCCACCTAACTAAGCAGCTGTAGTTCTTCTGGGAGTCGTTCCGTCTCACAGTTTAGTCTTCACTGTCTTCCGGTGGAGTCAATTTCCGTGATACCAAGTGCATGTTCTTTGAAAATCTGCCAACAATTACGTAACAAGCCATTAACCTACTTTCCTCTGTATCTGTGCGCCCACTCCAGTTTTTGAGCCTTCCTTTCTGGGACCTCACGTAGAAGGTCCCGGAACAGCGTATGCAGTCAAAGGTTAGTACGAAACAAAACATTTCGAGCCCCCCAAAGATACAAAGGCAATTTCCTCATGCTTATTGCCACTTAAAGGCCTTTTTTCATCGGAGGTACCTAGCTCCGTGTTGATTTTCAGAAGAGCTCCCTATGGAGCTGCTGCTCGCTGCAATGGAGGACACAGGATGGTACATAAGAGAACACACCTGGGCAAGAGAATTTCTCCGGTGAGAACCGGCAGCGTAAAGGTTTTAATGATCACGCTAATCACAGGAGCCCAACTTTCAAGCCATCTGCAAAACTTAGGATGATCGTCTCCTATCTTATTTCGAAGTGAATCCTTGCGTACCGCACTGCACGAGGCTCTGTGAATATGGAATATGCCGTTCAACCGTGCTCTCAGGAAAAGTTCAGATGATCAAGATGCCCAAAGGTGCAAGCCTTTTGAGCAGACCGTGCCTGCTGCGCCCAGGACTTCGGATAATAAATTCGCAGTGGAAAACTCATTTGTTGACGTCAAAACAAGCAACCCGAATGAACGAGTGACTGATGAGGGACAAGGAAGCCACAACGTAATGTACCTAAACGGTTTTGACTATGAGCAGTGAGTCATTTATTCGTCACGCCAGCATCTGATAGTGCGCCCCTTGTGTAGCACGTCATTGCTCGTCGTGCGCAGTTTGAGTAGCACGCTCATAGGCAGCTGCGCGCTCGCACGTCACTTGTGTCATTGGAGCAGATGTGTAAAGAGCATGATGGAGCTAGCTCCGGCATCAAGGAATAAAAGGAATTGTCGCAGAATCACGTGTGTATCGGACGATGACCGGATCGAAGCACCCATGATGCTGCCGGTAGCAAAGCCTGTCAAGTGGGTTGCTGCGCAAGTAACAAGCAAGCTGCAAAATGGCACTGAGAAAACGACAGTATGTATGCGAGGCGAAAAAGGACAGCAGAAGCAAGTTCCAGGCACGGAAAGAGGAGTCATTGAGTGCCCCGATGTAGATGTCGTGTGCCACGGAAGGCCTTGCAGAAATGGAGGAGTCCCCAAATATGGAGTGTGAGGGACCCCAAATTTTTTCAACTTGAATTCTAAGTATTTGTGCATTGTTTGGCCAACGCGCAATTGTACTCCCAACATATCATCACTCGTTTTGCGTGGTCCTATGCGAAAGCTGTGTCTGCAAGGCTGGCACCTTCGGACGAAACTGCGAATATTGGGACACGGAACGGAACCGAATTCGGTATCCGAATCGATTCTCTTACGGCGTCAATTCCAGTATAACTGTCCTCAAGGGTCATTTTTTCGCTATCCCAGCATTAATAGAAGGGCCCTATCATCTCTACTTTAAACCAGTTTCGTATGCTGCCAATAAATATTAAGAAACACACCTGTACAGATCATCTTCAGCATCTGTCCAGTGGTTGGCAAGTGCATGCACTCTACTGGCTTTTATCGTTTGCACCGACGCAATGTAGTGTGCTACGTTTCTTAGGAAATTTCCTGCCGGCATAGCAATCGACTCGCGCACCGGTGCAATATTTGGAACTCCAGTTGAAAAAACCAGAGGTCTGCAAAAGACCCGCTTACTTTCAAAAAAATGGGAGTTGGAAGAAAACCTTGGCTGCCCAGTGCGCACTCTAAAATTTCGAGTCACAGGCACTATTTCACGTCCCGCCCTATGTGTGATGCGTTGCTCCTGTATTAGGCTGCGTACCATTAGCCATAGAGGTACAGATGCAGGAGCCGCCACATGCAGCAGAAAGGACTTTTATACGAATAAACGTCGTTGACCAGCTACTGACACGATCGCAACAGCCAGAGCTCAAGAAGAGAAACGACCTTGCACCCGTTGAAGGCCGCCGCGCAGTGCCCGAAAGGGCATCCCAGGAAGCAGCAATGCACCAGAACTACCAAGACATGGCAACCGAGGCAGACTGGAGTGGTTTGGCCGTACGGACCCCAGGAGATTGTGAACTTTATGTGAAAGGGGACTTGCGATAGCACGTTGCAATCCGCAGAGCTGACTAATTGAGGGGAAATAGCCTCTTAATCATACAAGTGCTCTTTCTCGCGCTTAGCATTTCTATGTTTCTTAAAAACGCTGCGCTACCTGTGGAAGTTAATGATACACTAGAAAGCTAGCGCCACACGTCTTCACCTTAAACAGATCAGTCTTACTTCAGCAGAAACAACCTGCGTCAGCCTTTATACACCCAGTAATTACGCTGAACAGCCCTGCGTTTAAAAATCTGAGAAATCCTTTCCATTTCATGCACCACGTGAAAAGTATCAACAATGCATTCGACGCGGCACTTCAAGAAGTTGCTTTGAAGCTTGTTTCCACGACCAATCAAGAGCGGGACTTGACAATTGGAAAACGTTGTGCTGTGTCAGCCACAAAGTGTTGTTAAAACCTGTGTAGACGCATTCCACTTTGCTGATGCTGTCTACCATGCAGATCGGGATGGAAAACGTTGTCAGGGAAACGCTGGTGAGTAGCGTTGCGACTAAGCAAATGGTAGCTTATCCAATATCAATGTGCTTGTAGTAATTTAGTGTATTGGCGTAGGGGACGTGCTCGATGCTTTTGTAGAAGTCGCCTAATCCGAAAACATCACAAAGCTTGGCAGTTGAATTCGCCGCGACCAAGTCCAGCTTGAGCTTCTTATCACTATCCTGTCAGGCGGAACAAATGGAAGTTGACCCAGCGCAGTCATGATTGAAGAGGTGTGAATGCCAATATACACGACTGCTAAGCTACAAAAATATCCGGAATGGACACCAGAAAATAGAACCAAAAGAGCACGCGAGTGTAGCCCCAGTATTCACCACATTCAAAGCAAAAACTAACGAGTGCAGCATGTCTTCAATAGCCAACATCAGGTTCCTGCTAGCATGCAAAAGCTGCAAACGTCGACGCTAAAAGAACATACCCGTGCAGTCATTTCTTGAAGCGTGAACTTAATCGACTGATACGGCGAACCGCAGAGTACTGCCTGTATGGAAAAGAAGTGCAACTCAAATAGCGCCTATTTAAAGCTTCTGGGGGTAACATGAGGCAATCCGTAGTCATCCTCAGGCCGTACGTCTAAAGCAAATTTAGATGCACCAAGTCCGCCATCAAAGCTTGGCGGTACATCTAGCAAGCAACCTTTCTGGCTGCAACATACACGCTTTATGTAATCCTGGAGAACAGCAGTACGCTCAAAAGAGCACGCAGCCGTGCCCTCCGTAGTCACCACCTTCTTCTGGGCAAATAGTGATGGATCCCACATAGCTCCTCTAGCGAACATCAAATTTCCAATGTGGTACGAATCCTGCGCCATGGCACCAGAATAACAACCGGCACCAGCAATATGTTTTGTACACAAGTAGCTTACAGCACTTCTTGCCGTCTTAGAGCTTACTAAAGATAACGCTTTGGCGTTGTTAGCTCCTTATGCTCAATTTAACCGAAATATGGCAAGACACAAGCTGCATCCTGCTCAAGCATACTTGAAAACGAGTCGCATCTTCAGCCGAAAGAAAGTCACCGTTCGCGATCAGTGGGATTTTAAGAGCACTTCGCAGCAACTGTGAAAGCATATGCCACACAGCGTACGGAAGCCGCAAAAAGGGAAAGAGACTTGGACTTTTGTTCATAAGGATACAAAGATCAGGAAACAAATAAGAGCTATCATTCTAGTGAGGCTGTGCAACTGCCAGTGGCGAGGATGGCTGTAAACAGCAATACACTTTACAGCAGGAATTGCGGCCTCATGCTTTCACCAACTACGAATCGTCAACGCATGCTTGTGCTCTACAAACTACAGGGATGTGGAATCCGATATCAGCATGCGGTATCTACGGTACTCACTGGAAAAGCTTGCCAGTTTGCCCTGTGTGCAGGTCGTTCGTGGCGCTTCTGTAAAGACAAATACTGGGCTGAAGCTAGCTTCTTCTTGAGGCTCTTCAAGCACCATACTGGCTACTTGCATTCAGCTGGTGGAAGTGTAAGGCGAGCGTTTCCGTTAAGGCATACTACTCTAAACGTACCCTCGCATGAACCGCGATGGCTGCTATTCCTGTGCTTTCGCACTTCCGTGCGAAATCCACAGTCTGAAGGAGCATCGCAGACGCATACCTGGATAAAAGCACACGTTGCTCTAGAGGTCAGCTACTCAGGGGGCACCTTTAGCTCGACGGATCAAGCTCTAACCTCTTCCATTGTTTCAAGGAGACGAATTTTACACGTGACTGGACAGGGAACATTTCGGACGAGGGTCTTCAGGATATCCATCGCCAGGTCTGGCGTCTGAAGCAAGGCCGCTCCCATGCCGCCTTTTACCCTACCAGGCACGAAACACACACGGGGACTGAGCTGTAGCCCACGAAAAAACACACAAAAATACCTGAACTAGAGCTCTGCAAAAGGAGAGGAGTACGCTGTGGAATCCCCATGTGAGCCGTCATGCCACATGCTTTCTGGTTAAATCTACTTCGTCGCTGATTTTCCCTGCCGTGGTTGAAGGGCCCCATATGGCGTACGAAAAGCTCTTAGGACAGCCCATATTAATATCCACTGCTGCAACATCCTGAAAAGCGCACAGAAAAATTGAGAACATCAACGCTGCTTCAGCACACAAGGCTCTCAGGCACTCAGTCAGCATGAACAAGCTACGCGGCATTAAAAATTGCGTAGTACCGCCGGTTACGCATTTTAGTAACATGCCAGGAGGACGCAGTAGTAAAAGACCGACCTGTATGGCAACTGTTGCTGCCTGCAGAGCGCGTGTGGCGTCAGCCGTTCCAAGTTGTAGGATGACTTTGCCCTTCTCGAGTTCGCAAGTAGAGAAAATACAGCGTCTGTCGCTCTTGCTGATGTATTCTACAACGCAGCAACCATAAAGAGTAATGCTGCTGTGCTGCTACACCAAAAATGTAAGCTGCACCGTGACATCAGTTCAGTGCCAAAACTCCGCATGCGTACCCATCCCACATGATCTAATCTGTCAAAACACGCATAATATGCATGCCTTAGGCTTACCAATGGTGCCAAAGTCCTTGTTGATGTGCCTCTTTGTATCAAGGAGCTTTCTGTCCACAATCTCTTCAGTGTAGACGACATCTATCAAGCGCAGAACAACAATTACTCTAGTTCCACTCTTGCGCAACAAGCTCCAAAAGAATTCAGCCTGTGACGTTTTTTCTGAATCTTGTGTTTCAGTGCTTGGGTCCCACCTGCTCCATACTTCAGGCATTCCAACCGGAAAGGCAAGGTGCTTATCCGCACCATGGGAGCAAGTATCCAGGAAGAATTGTAGAGTCCCAAAGCGTGCACGGAAGCCGAGGTGTATTTCTCTGCAAGATTATCATTGTTAAGCATTTCCTGGGTTCCAGCTTGAGCCGACTGACGCTCATTTTCCGACTGACGCTCACTTTCCTCGTGTGGCACCTCTGGCAAAATGCCTGCTTTTGTCGAGTGAAGGTGGTGGCTCGTTTCTGTACTGTCCTCTGTTTCTGGGATTGGTGCCCCTTCACAGCTTGATTCTTCGGTTGTTCTAGAGCGTTTGGAATGCCTTTGCAGAGAATTGGAGCTGCTGTCGACTTGATGTTTTAGTTTGCTTGCAACGTAAATCCCGTTAGCAGCTCCGGAAGTGCCTCCTTCGGCAGAGCTGGTGAGCTCCGGAGCACAACGTTTTTGTTGGTTTTGGCCCAGCGTACTGCTTGATGCAATCGCAGCAATATTTGTCCCATCCGTTGGCCCTTTTACCAGATCTGTACGCGTAACGTCTGGGGGCTCCGGGCTGGGACATTTATTGATCTGTCCCACATACAGGTGCTGCATCGGCGGCTTCACTGCTAAATCATCGGTATTAGAAGACTCATAAGGTTGGTCCGGCTTGTCTCTGTGATCGGATTTAGAGTCATGTAGAACTGTACCCTCAGTAGCGGGAGCTGACATTCTGCAGAATTCATCCCAGAAGAGAGTTTGTCCCGTCTTCAATTAGCTGACTGACTCAATTCAGCTTTTTTCGTGGTACCTAATGAAAAGATAACCCTCTTTAATAATCTCTAGAGTCAGCCTCTTGCTAGCAGAATACGCCAATGAACTGCCAAATGCTCGACGGGGACAGAAACATGAGAGCCCTTTGTTGCCGAACCATTGTGGGCGCTCAAGCTCTCGCAAAGATCATATCAACATAGCAGCGAAACAAATTTGGTGAAACGCTTCCAACTTGCTTTGAATTGCTGGGTTCAACATAACAGTCTTTAGATCGATTGGCTTCCATGACAGATCATGTAGGCTGGAGGGCTAGGTTCTGAAACGTCGACGAGAACTGACAGTTGTACTCCTGGCTAATTATTAGAAGGCCGAGTATAGTATGAAATGTCTTTTTACGCCATCGTAACTGAAGAATTTACTTCAGTTCATGAGCTGGTTCAATCGTCAGCTCCAGGCTTCTGCCCGTGGCTTACCGGCTTACCGTTGGAGAAAAGCATACCTTTACGTTAAGCAATCCGTGATTCTGACTTCTTATTTCTAAAGTTCATTGTTGTTTAGGAAAACCATAAGTATTTCCCGGTGAAAAAAGGCGCGCAGCATCTATTACTTCATTGCTAATCGTGATATTCTAATTGGCCGACGCAGTGCCAGCGTTCATAGCACATAGGCTAAGCTATAGTCGCAATTGTAGCAAAGTACTGGAGTCATCTGAATTCATTTGCTGCGATGAAATTGAAGACGACAGCAAGACAACTCGCGCGTCCGTGAGTGTCGCATTAGCTGTGGAGCTTGAGACTCTGCCTTCATGTGCCTGGAATTTCGTTATTGGGGCTTGGGACGAGCTACATTCGGGCTCCTTTATGTTAAAAAATTAACTGAGGCATTTTCAGGCCATCTCAGGGCAAGCTTGCCCAGAAACGTTGCACGACTTAGTGACTGGAGTTTCCGTCAAAGTACATTTGTGCTGCCACAAGTTACTAAGCCAGTGAGGAAGGTTGTTTTTATCCCATATCAGACATAGGCACACCTGGGAAAAGAACAGTGGCACCTTTAAGGCCAGTGGTAAAAACACTACTGCTGCTAATTACGCCGAACTACTACATAAGGTTGTATACGCATGTGTACCATGTAGATGGGCAAGAGCACTTTTAAAGGACGAATTTCCTAGGGTTGCTAGCCCTTCTGCATTTTGCTGCAAGACCTGCATTTTGTGTTGGCAGGGGCCTGGGCAGCAAATACTATCGGCTGCGTAACGTAAGATCTGCCGAGCCGAGTGACCTGCTCATTTAAAGGCACGTTCAAAAAACAACACTTTTGGGTTCTAAATTACTGTTTTATATTCCACTCGACCTCAAAGAATAAAAAATCCAATGGCAGCGGCAACTGAATAGCCTCAATAGCATTCAAATGCCTGGGAACTTCGGCGAGATTAAACGGTGGCGGTGGAAATGCGGACGCGCCTGTCTCCACTGCCGCATGCCCCAACGCTGTCCTCTGGAGTTCTGCTGCAGAGCTTCAGCATCAAGAAATCTACTGTCGATGCTGCCTGCACTGAATGCAATAAAGTAGGTTCATTTTGGGCTGCTACGTGTCCCTTTGGTTCTGGGTACATAGTTTCACATCTATTATTACTTAGTAAAAGCCTTGAAGAGTTTTAGCGAGTCCAAACAAAATCATTGCAGATACAAGCTTCCAAGGGATACATGTTTTTCTTTCTGGGCGCTTCTCAGTCTCTGCATGGCAGTCCTAACCCCAGGTACTGACTGCAAAGCGCACTGGATGTGAGACCCTCATTAATGCGTTCATCGATATACCCTGATTTGCATGAGTCTGAATTTCTCGACTACGTTGCTCTCGAGGCCATCTTTGATATGGCCTCATGCTAACCACCAAAAGCGACGAAGCCATTCAGTGCAGCTGATGCAGATCACCTGCCTCCTTCATGATATTTGGCTGCTCAGAGAGTTCTATACTGTCGCAGTGTGCCGCAGTACAATAGGGGCAGCGAACCCTTAACCACCAAACACAACAGCATCATTCAGTGCGATCGGCACAGGCCACCTGTTGTCTTCATCATATTTGGCTGCTCAGCGAGTCCTAGACTGCCGCAGTTTGCCGCAGTGCAATAAGATAGTGGAGCCACCTACGTGTAGTTCTGTATCACTGGCTTGCCTTCTATTTTAAATGTCCGTATCGGCATGCCTGTATTTACGCCACGTGGTGTACTTTTGTATGTGAATGTACTAAGCTCCTTATTTGCGTGCTGTGTGTTCATCACAGTGAAATTACTGCATTCTGCAGGGGGCAGATGAGGATTTCCCTCAAGCCCGAGGCTTGGAAAAACAACATTTAGGGGGAACAAATTTCGCGATGGTATCCTTCGGCTTTCACGGTTTTTTTTTGCAGCTCCAAATTACCCATTCTAGCTCTCTATTGTTCATTTTCCCTTTGGCATTCCCTGGTATGCGAGATTTTCATCTCTTATTAGGGCGCCGTGCTGTAGAGCGCATGATGTCCTGAACATGACACCTAAGCTTGCCTCGCAGCGAATGATGTGCAGAACCCCTGTATATATCTCAAGACATGCTAAGAATCTCATACCATTAGAAACACTTTTGCAAATAATGTGTATTTAATATCTCAACCTAAGTGACACCCAACAGGGGACGCGCACTCGCCCTTCGTTGCATACCAACTGTCTGTGCGTGAAACCAGCCATTACGGCTTCGCTCTTGAAGAGGCAACAAGGAGAATCGCCTTCATTTAGGGCAGTCCTAAATAGATATGTGCTTAAAATGGTACCTTAATTTCTTCCAGTCCATAATTCACAACATATTGTCGTATCAGTACAGCATTACTTATGGGATCTTGTTTCATACCGTGCGGCTCTTCGCGTCCTCTTGGTCGTCAGGATAATTCCACGCTTCTTCTACGTCATACCAATTCTTTTTTACGGTTCTGATTTTTTATGACCATTATAGTGCAAGAGATCACTACGAGTCCATATGAATGCAGGTATTTCGTGCTGGCTGTGGAGGCACATAACATTTTAGATCTTCTGTGGCGGGAGCACCAGCTCCTGCACTCTAGCAGCAGGCCAAGCGTTAGTTGAGCAGCAAGCGTCGACGACGCCTTCTTCTTAAGAGCGAGATTAAGACAGTCTGTTTGTGGACAACGTAACAATCCGGCGAAGACGTCATTCCCCGTCTGTTGGAGTCTCCTACTCCCAACAGAGAGACCCCAGAGCGGTGGCGCAGCGCCTTAACCACTCCAATGGGAGAAAACCCGCAGCGGCATTACCATGATAGAGATGCTATTTTCAAATGTGAAAGTCAGGCCGCAGCGGACTATATGAAGGAGGCCGGCCATCTGAAGGAGATGGATCTACGCCCTAAGTCCTTCAAGTCGCTTGCAGAGGCATTCCACGCGTCCCTGTGCGTTATTCGCTGCCTTAGGGGAATGCTTTACCTTCACACAGAACATGAGCACATCGGCCTCATGAGACAGCAAGCGGGGGACTCTGAGTCTGCAGGAACACCACATACTGAAAGACTGTCAGTTGATGCAGATGTGTTGGCCCACCAAGCATCGTTTATTGCTGATGACGCAGCGTATGCTGAGTTGCTGGAGCAGCCCAGCACTTTTTCTCAGGCACTAGGAGGAGCTCCTGCAGAAGTCGCCCCCGAAGATAGGATGCCTGCCCCGGAGGAAAATGGAAACTCCTTAATGCAAGAGGCCGCGGCGCACTCAACTCCAGAAAAGCGGGCAGCAGCAGCCGTATCTGCCGATGAGTCTACAAAAATCAAGGCGATGCTACCTTCGCCAGATTCACCAGGGGCTTCTGGTGCATCCTCTTCAGCTTCGCAGATCCCAGGGGGGACAGAATATGAGCTGTCCGTCTGCAAAGCGCTCTTACTTCTGCAGCAGCTGGCTCCCAATAGCACTCCGTTGGTGGGAGAATCACCTCCACTGCAGCCTCCACAAGCAGTGCCAGCGTTGCATGGCGCATGTCGGAGTGCACAATACTTGCCTTGTAACGCCAGACCCAAAACTAGCAAGCTCACGAGGGTCTATGAAGGAAAAGTCACAGTACTATCTGCAGCCATTCTTGAAATCTTACTAAGCGTGCGACTACTCCAAGGAACTCAGCAGCTAATGCGGGCAGACTTCGCAAGGCTCCTCCACCAACAGCAGAAGCAGCAGCAGCAGCTGTTGAAAACTGTACAGACTACTGTAATGAAGCTAGGTGTGTCTCGAATTGACTTCAGCATCGCGAGTAAACACTTGTGCTGTTGCTTTCTGCCGGCACTAGGGCTTGTATAGATTCCCATATCAGGTTACGAAACCTCCCATTGCATGCGATGCGAATAGGAACGAACTGACTGTGTGTTCGTGGTGCAGAAGCGGAGAGAGATTGCTTCTTGGGACGCATGCAGAAGCTTTCTTCAACTGTGGGTCGCAAATGAGGTGGGGGCCTAGAAGACGGTGCGGAAGCTTCAAGGATCTTGCCTCCAAGTATATCTTTATGTCAAGGGCACCAGTAGTGCGTTTTTGATAAGAGCCACAAAGGCACTTAAGCAGTTTGAATTCCATGAGTGACACCGCGAAGCTCACGTTAGTGCTCTGAGAAGCATTGAGCTGTGCCATCAAACGAACCGCATCACCATGAAGTATCTCTGCTGCTCACTTGGCGGTAGAATGCCAGATTGGTTCTCAACAGTATTCTTTCACACTGCACCTGCGGAAACTGTGCTACAGCAAGCTGATACTGGTATGACGTAGCCCCAATGAAACTTCCTTTGATTAAATCCGATTCTTCTTCAGAGGTGTGGTGAGCGTAGTTCGTCCTGATGGACCACCGAATGTGTTGGAGTCTGCAGCTCTGTCAAACGTTGTGGGGCTACAGTGCGCCATCTTCGATCAAGTTAAGGAAAAACAAATGGTCTCACTTGGCTAGGCTTCACACAAGAAGCGTGCTTCAAGTATATCGAAACCGACAACCAGCACATTTAGGTCAATACACGCAGGCTCAGCGGGAGGCAAAAAGCGATGCGCCTCCACGCTCTCGAGTGCCGCAACCCTTCCACACTGCCAGCGCTACGCTTTCTTTCCGTAACCTAACACTGGGAAGGCCCGGCCAATAAACGGTCCTTATTCACTGGTCTGCGACGGAAAAAAGAAGTCCCCTTGTCCCTGCCTGGACCTGTGCAAGCTGCAGCAATTAAAGCACTACCAACCTGACTAATCGGGAGCTGAGGAATTTGCGCCGAAGAAACGTCTATAGCCCATCTCACGACTACCGACAGCTAATGAAATTGTTTTGTATCAAATGGTTCCCATAGTTCGGTGTGCACGAGCCACCTGACAACCACCGAGAATGAGACACTGGCCGCCAACAACGAAAGGACATTGCCTTAGCTTGGCCTTCTATAAGGATTGCATCTTGCTTGACAGCCAAATATTCCTCAAAAGTGGCAAATGTGCGCCCGTCCGACACAGCGCAACACTCTGCCCAGCACTGTTCCGACCTGCCGGGCTGTTCGGGGTGCGTAGAAAAACCCAAAGAAGCGAACAGACGGGAAGGCACGCGGCAACATTGTCCCTAGCAATACAAGAGCAACAAATGCAGTACAAGGCGCAGTGTGCTTCTGACCACGCTAGGCTGCTCCGTCCGGAACAAGTTGCTGTGCGCTACAACACCAATATTCAAATGCATGACGCGTCAAAGAAAAAATTGCCAGTAACACGCTTCAGCTGAAAGAATAAAGACACACAAATTAAAAAGTGTCAACGCGGCATGAAACAGCAAACACCCACAAGCAAAGGGTCCGCTGCGATTAACGCGAGAGCCCAAGCTCACTCTGGCCCTTCGTGATTTGGCTACTGTGCTCATCACATTAACGGCACCGCCATACCCAGAGAAAGGGCACTCATGCAAAGCGCGCCTAAATGCGAGCAACGTGCACGAACCAATGAACTGTGCCGCGTATCAGATATAGTGATGACTTCATATGGGTTCAGAAACACAGACCAAATTGATGCTCATCCCAATAATGCGGCATACAATGTTCCAGTGACACATTTCCCAACAAAATGTAAAACGCATGACGTCTCAGGCAGTACGAATATGCTTGGGAATTCATACGCAGCTGTGTGCAAGCGTCATGGGTGTCCTAAGTTCGTCATCATGGTCGCCATGCTTCCAGCTCGGAAATGCAAAGTAATCTCTCGCACCGAAAAAACTGGTGTCTTCACTCCTCCGGGTTCTAAATTCCATACAGCGCTGAGCCCTTCACCATCCTCACCACATACGCAGCAAACAACCCATGTGCGACTTCAAGAGGGCTTTGACTCCAGCGATAAGCCTCAGCGGCTTCCTAGCCAAAACAGAACTCCAAGGCGACGTCATTTTGCCGCGAGTGGGTAATAGGCGGGAGCGACCGTAGCTCAAACAGAACACGCACCTGCCTGACCAGCTTCGCGGGTGATACTGTATGTATAATGTGCACACATAAACAACAGCACCGTGGCGATCAGCAGTTTATTTGATGGATTGTTTGTACTCTCTCCACACAAAGCCATTCGGCGGTGGCAGTAGAGTATCATCCGCACGCCAACGTAATGTAATGCACTCACACAGTGGCTAAACCACTCATTGTGCATGCGCCCTACGCGTCGCCCGCATTTACTTTATCTCCCATGCAACACAGTCTGCAATCCCATGCATTCGCGGAACACCGCTGCGCGGACCAAGCGCTTGCTTAACCTCCTGCTATCAACAAATCTTGTTCAAGGGGGGAACGGGAACAATAGGACCTAGTGCGAGCAGACGCTGCAAAACCCAGGCTCCAACTATATCCCTCGGAAAACGCTCTTGCACGCCTACTGACACACACAGGGAGCGTACCCAGACGCAAGCACTGCGTGTGAATTTGATTCGTGCGTCATTACATTCTTCAACCTATCGCCCTGTCACACCGAAAATAGGCAACTCAGACACATCTCTCCGCACGCACCAATAGGCGACCCCTCATGCTTGAGTGGTCTGCCCATGGCAAATTTGCAATCAGACGGCACTTCCTAGATGAAATGTTTCATCAAAGGTTGCCTGAGCGACATTTGTTTTCACATTGCAATCAACCAAATTACGAGCCAACCCCTCAGAACTGTTTATTTCAGCAATAAAATTATGCCCCGAAAGATGGTCATAAAATAGTATTTCATCGTCGGGAGCGCTCACAACAGAGATTGTGTCACTGTCCGCTCTATGTGAATTGTTCTGTGTCAGATTTGGTAAGCAGTTTTTCTTTTCCGCAGCGGCCAGCTGACCCTCGGAATTTGATGGTCATGTAAGTCATCCCACTGCTCAATTCAGCAAGCACCAGACACACTTTACAGGCCAGCCACATGCAGATCCAGTCAATCAAATTCATTGTTGCTGTTCTGACCTTATGGATGCAGCGCACACGGCCTGCGCCTTCCGACGCCAGTTGCGCCACAAATGAGAGGAAAGGTTTGTTCTACCGAGCTTGGACGCATGAACGCACACAAACCATCCACAATCGGATAGTAACAGCCAGCAGCTGAGCGTGGATTCAGACTATGAGCTCGGCCAATGATGCTTCAACAATTCTGCAAATAGACGATGTACACAACACTCAGCATATGACAATTATGGTCTCAGCATAGTTCTACCCTCGACATAGCCCTGGCAAAAGACCTAGGACGTCCGCAGACCGTCGTGATTGTAGAACTTATTTCATCCTCCGCGCGTCTAAATACACCTAGCATGCAAATGCATCTAGCAGCTAAACACGATTCCCAATGTCAGCGATTTTCGCGTCCACACCTACACTGTTCAGAACAGGTCTGTGGAAAATGCTTATCATCCTCCAGGCGACATCAATAAAAGTAGCAACACTTAATGCAGTTCGGAACGCTGGGCCAAGTCAGAAAAAGTCCTGAACTCAATCGCCATCTCCTTTCTAGCGTTAAGGATATTCGATGGGGAAAGAATGTTGTCATCATTGTGGGCCCTTCTGCGCAAGCGCACGGTGTGTTGGTGGATCGCACCGAGCTAAACACGCAGTTCTACACCATAAATAAAATTGATGGAAATCGCTCCATTTAACCCAAATTAGGAAGCGCTCAAGCCAAAACGCACGCAGCACGGCAACACCGAATCTAGCCTGCCACCATCGCCAAGAAAATTATATAAAGCACCGTAAAGAAATTTAGGTATGCACGGAACGTTCCAGAATCCAAGCTGTTTGCCTATCGAAGCATGCTTGCATTCAACTATGCAGCGTCCGTGCTATTCTTAGTCTCACCTATCTTACGACCTTCCACGGCACAAGGGAAGCTCGTGGAGGAGATACTGTAGGATTGAGAAAACGAAAGACACAGGAGCATTCGTGTTATGTGCAACTAACACATTGTGTCCTTTATCAGAATAGGAAATTCAAAGTTGATCTGCAAATAATCTAAAATACTAGCCGGCATCTGTAACGCTTCGTTGGACTAGCTGACGCGGTGTAAGTGGTATTAGGACGAAAAGTGTAGTTGAGTTTTGCTTCCTCGCAAACGAAATCCATAAACCGCGTTGGAAATGAAGAGTAACTGCCTATTAGTCGCAGCATGTAACGCACTGAGCCTCTGGGTGCTCCTTGCGCTATTGTTCACTATATTGAGCGAATGCCGATTACTCCTCCTCTGCCATCTTGTCCGCGACCATTTGGATCTGCAGGCAAAAGCAAACTGAGATGTTCGTTATTTTATAAACAAAACGCAAGGAAAATTCGGACTCTCACAAGGTATCGCCTGACGGATGTACCCGACATACTGACCTTCTTGAGGACTCTCTCCTTCCTCGTTTCCTTATCAAGCTTGACATTTCGTACATATTGTGACTTCGCTGTCTTGATCATAGCTCCCTGGCGAACCCTCTTGACTTCTCTAGCCTCCTTCTTGACTGGGTCTGGGTTGGCCCGGATCTTCTGGAAGGCTTCCTCGTACATCTTCTCTATGCTGTCAGGGTCGATTTTATTGCGAATATAGGCAGAAAACTGCGCCTGGTATCTCTCTGGATCTTCCTCCTTCAGTGTGCGCATATACTCAGCAACATGCAGACCGTAAATGCGTGCACGGTGAACTTCAGGGTTGTAGGAATCATCGGCGCCGTCCTCTCCCTTTGTGAAACCTGGGAAACGCTTGTTGCTGTGTGGAATATGAAGGCCTCCATCACAAGCACCCTTCATAGCACCAAAAACCCTATTGCCTGTGGGCGCACAAGGCCAAAAGAAAATTCGAGAAGCATTTCCGCAACTTTATCTCTAACCCATGTACCGCGAGCAAGAAAATTTCCCCCAAAGCCCAGACCTACCAACGGTTGTCGCGACAATTCCTACATCTAGGACGCATTTGAAGGGCCGGCGCTCCTCTGACACTTCCTCAATGTGGTACTCCT